AACAGAAAAAATATGCAGGGGAGAAATTATTTTTTATTTATTTTTTATTATTATTTATATTTTATTATTATTATTATTTTACCTTTTGAAATTCGTATTTTTATTGATTTTTAAATAATCTTACTTTCAGAAGATATAGAAGATCTGAAATGAAACTTTTTATGTCATTTGCATTGCTTGTTTTTGTCGTCCCCCATGAATAGGGTTGGTAATAACAATAATAACTTGTTTTAGTTCGAGCAAGCTTACAAACCCAAAGTTTTGCGCAATTGGGAAGTCCCCAAAATTTACAATGATAAGCCGAGGAGACGCTCGGGACGCACTCAGATAATTGCGAATGACAGGGGGCACCTTTTGCCCGGTGTCCCGAAAGCGAAAGGGAGTCCATGGGGGAGTTTCATAGGCACCTGGCATTTGCCCAAGAAAATCGACCGAAAAACAGGTATTTTCGCACAATTTTTTTCTCAAAATAATCACTTCTGGAGCAGCTGACGAACTAAATGGCTCTTTTACCAAAAGACTCACTTGTGAAGAGAAAAGAAAACCACAAGAGAAATTAGAAGAAGAAGAAGAAGTCAAAGAAGAGTCCAAAACAATTGAGGAAGAAAAAGCAATAGAAGAAATTAAGACAGAAGTGCCACCACAAGAAATTAAAGAGGAGGTATGAGGACCCCCAACAACAATTATTAACTTTTGATTTTTTTTTTTTTTTTCTAGGCACGATTTTGTCCAATTCACGGCTTTTCCAGTTAATTTGCTTTGTATTTTTTTAATAAATTCTTTTTATTTAATATGTAGCTAATTCCAATTAAAAAAAATACACCGAAATTGTAGTAACTCCTATAATACCAAATTAATTTCGATAATTCTAGAAAATCTTCTCTCTAAGAAATTCACTGTATTTTTTTTTAAAGCAAATATCTGATGATTTCAAAAAAAATTATCTAATACTAAAAAAAAATCCAGTAATTCCAGGAAATTTTTTGTAATTCACAAAAAAGTCGAGTAATTCCAAACAATCCAAAGATAATTTTAATTATTCAAAATACTTCCAAATAATTCCGAACAATTTCGATTAAATTACAAAAATTTGTACTACTTCCTATTCCAAAAAAAATCCACCGAAATTCTGGTAATTAAATTTTTTGG